GAGACAGTGATGGAGAGTCATTGATTGGACTGTTGGGCTTTGGAGGGAGGGTAGGGGAGGGTGGGGGTAAGGGGGGAAGATCAAGCAAAGGACTTACATGCAGGCATATAGGCCTAACCAATGGACACGGACAACGGGGGGGGGAGGGCAAGAGTGGGGGGGGGAGAGGGTAACGTGGGGACAAAGACACATATGTAATTTCTTAATCAATAAAAAATATATTAAAAAAAAAAGAATATTATTGACTGCATTCCCTATGCTGTACTTTACATCCCCATAACTATTCTATAACAACCAATTTCTACTTCGTAGTCCCTTCACCTTTTTCACCCATCCATTCAATCCCCCCTCCAATCTGGTAACCTTCAAAACATTCTCTTTATCTATTAGTCTATTTCTGTTCTGCTTGTTCGTTTATTTATTTTTTTTTTTTGGATTCAATTGTTAATAGATATATACTTATTGCCATTTTATTGTTCATATTTTTTCATCTTTTTTTTCTTCTCCTTAAAGAGCCTTTAACAGTGCATATCATACTGGTTTGGTGGTAATGAACTCCTTAACTTTTTATTGTCTGGAAAGCTCTTTAATCTAAAGAGCTTTGATTCTAAATGATAGCTTTGCTAGGCAGAGTAATCTTGGTTGCAGGTCCTTGCTTTTCATCACTTTGAATATTTCTTGCCAATCCCTTCTGGCCTGCAAAATTTCTGTTAAGAAATCAGCCGACAGTCTTATGGTAGCTCCCTTGTAAGTAATTGCTTTTCTCTTGCTGCTTTTAAGGTTTGCTCTTTGTCTTTAACCTTTGGCATTTTAATTATGACTTGCCTTGGTGTGGACCTCTTTGGGTTCATCTTGTTTGAAACTCTCTGTGCTTCCTAGACTTGTATATCTATTTTCTTCATCAAGATAGGGAAGTCTGTCATTTTTTCAAAAAGGTTTTCAATTTCTTGCTCTCTCTTCTCCTTCCCATACCCCCATCATGAAAATGTTGGTACTTTTGAAGCAGTCTAGAGCCTCCTTACACTATCATCTTTTTTTGGATTTTTTTTCTTTTTGTTCTTCTGATTAGGTGTTTTTTGCTTCCTTTTATTCCAAATCACTGATTTGATTTTTAGCTTCATCTATTTACTATTGATTCCCTGTAAGTTATTCTCTTCAGTTAGTGTATCCTTTACTTCTGATACTGGTGCTTTTTTTATGCTGTTGAGGTTCTCATTAAGTTTATTGGGCATCCTTATAACCAGTGTTGTTGTTTTCTTTAAGTTTTATTTTTTATTTTGTTGTTAATCCTCCATCCAAGGATATTTTTCCATTGCTTCTTAAAGAGAGTGGATGAGAGAGGGAAAGACAGAGAGAAACATTGACATGAAACACATCAATTGAATGCCTCCTGCATATGCCCCAACCAGGGCCAGGCCAGGGAAGGGCTTGCAACCAAGGTATGTGGCCTTGACCGGAATCAAACCCAGGACCCTTTAGTCTGAAAACCAATGCTCTATCCACTGAGCCAAACCAGCTACGGTTATAACCAGGGTTTTGAACTCTGTATCTAGATTTTATTTAATTATATTCCTAATTGTGTTCTGTTCTTTCATTTGGGACATTTTTCTTTGTCTCCTCATTTTGGCAGCCTTCCTGTGTTTGGTTCTATACATATTAGATAGAGCTACTACTTCTCCCAGGCTTGGTAGAGTGGCCTAATGTATTAGGTATCCTGTAGGGTCCCATGGCACAGCCTCCCTGACCACCAAAGGTGGGAATTCAAGGTACACCACTTTGTGGGCTATATACACTCGCCTCTTGTAGTTGAGCCTTGATTGCTATTGGCATGTCAATAGGAGTGATTTATCCCCCAAGTCAATCAGCTGCAAGGACGGGATGTGACCACTGATTACCAACCTCCAACCATCATGGAGAATCAGCTATGCAGAGGCCCACTCAAGAGCAGGACTTCAGGGGCCAACACACAGAGCATGATATATTTCAGCAGAGCTCTGGTCCCTGATTGAGTCTGTCCCTTGAGTGTGTCACTGGTGGAGGTGGTTGGGAGGTGGTACTTCAACATGGTCTGATGCTGTACACTGGGTGCTCTGAGACCTCCCAGGAGGTGCAGGCCAAGGTGCAGGTACTGCCTGTGTTCTGCCAGGGGTCACCCATCATGAGCTGCAAAGTGATTTGCAGATGGCTTCTTGTGTTGGGCTTGGAGGTGTCCCAGTGAGGCCAAGCTGTGAACCAAGGGCAGCTTCTACTGGTGTCAAGCCTGGGGCCACTTTGCAAGAGGTACAGAGCTCCATGAGGCCAGATGCTACTTGTTTGAGAGATTTTGGGAAAGTCCAAAGCATAAGGCAAAAGAGGCTATTCATATAGAAATGGGTGGGCCCACATCCTGTGGAAAAGCCACTTGAAACATGTTAGGTGGGGCAGGGCCAGGATAGGGAAAATAGTGTGATCCAGGTTGGCAAAGTCTCAGACATGGTTCCACCTGCCACCTCTGTGGGAGGAGATCTCAGAAAAGGTACAATTGCTTCTGTCAGCACTTCTGTCTGGGAGAAAGCTGCCCTGCCCCCAGCTCTCTCCCTGATATGGAACAATTCAGTTCCTCCCCATATATCTCTGGTACCTTTCAAGCTGCTGCCCCATATTGGAGCACAGAAGGAGTGAGTTCCAGTTAGTCTGTGTGTGGGCCCTTTAAGAAGAACGGCCTGGGACTCCAGCAGCCTCAAGTGTATCTCAGCCTCAAACCCCGCTGGTTTTTTAGCCAGAAGTTATGGCAACTTCTCTTCCCAGCACTGTAATCCTGGACAGGGGGCCTGGTGTGAGGCTGGGACCCATTACTCCACAGCTGAGATATCCCTCCAGATTTTTATCTGCCATATGTGGGTGTGGGACCAGCCCATTCCATGTCTCCATCCCTCCTGTCTTGATGGAACATCTTCTTTAATTCCCTAGTAATAGAACTTCCATTCAGCTCAATTTCAGCTGGTTGTCTTGTAGTTTGGTTGTAATTTTAATGTGGTTGTGGGAGGAGGTGAGTACCATGTTAATCTACTCTACCATATTGGCCAGAAATCATGAAAAGTTTTTTTTAATACAAATTATAGGAAAAAGACTAAAAATGTACCCCTGCTATTAAAAAGTGAATACCAAAAGAAACAAAATTGAAGTATTCTCAGAGGCCTAGTACTAGCCTGCTAATATAAGAGTTCATGTTTTGGGATTTCAATTTTAACTAAAAGACCAATACAGCCTATTTTGTTCCTGTCTCTAAATGCTGATTTTTTTTTCAGTTGTTCTTTCTCTTTTTTAAATAAAGCTATTTATTTGGAAATATCAATCAAATACCATAGTAAGAAGTTTGGGGGTTCTATTATATACGCTCTCCATCACAGTATTAGCAGAGGTGCAATTTTGATTAAGAAAATAGCCCTAACCGGTTTGGCTCAGTGGATGGAGCGTTGGCCTGTGGACTGAAGGGTCCCAGGTTCGATTCCAGTCAAGGGCATGTACCTTGGTTGCAGGGACATCCCCAGTGGGTAGTGTGCAGGAGGCAGCTGATCGATGTTTCTCGCTCATCGATGTTTCCAACTCTCTATCCCTCTCCCTTCCTCTCTGTAAAAAATCAATAAAATATATTTAAAAGAAAAAGAAAATAAACACAAGTTCTATGTCTAATCAATAGAGTCCCACTTAAGCAAACTGAATTTCTAATAATTTGATTAAATGCAATTCAATCATTTATTCTGTAATCATGATGTAATAAACCAGATGCTACGTAGCAATGTTGGTTAACAAGACCCTCTTTTCCTAATAACTCAAACTATCTGAGGGACCAGTTGTTGTCTGTGTTCTTTCTTTCTAATTTCCAATCCATTGTATTCCAACAGTTTTAAGCAACAATAAATATTTGGTCAAGATATCAGAGTAGGTAAATGTGCTCACCTTCTCCCATGACCATAACAAAATTACAAAACTAAATTATAGAACCACCACCCTTGAGAACCACCTGAAGACTAGTTGAAGAGAACTATAACTAAGGATATAAAGAAGAGCCATGTCATGTCCAGACTGGTAGGAAGGAGAGAAACAGGAAAGGAGCTAGTCTTTTCTATGGTGTGGCATTTTAAAATCAGGATGGATATGTCAGCTGTGTAGGTCACCCCTGAAGAACAAGGGGTCCCAGCCCTACACCAGGACACAAGCTCTGGGAAGAGGAGTCCCCACAACATTTGGTTGTGAAAATCAATGGAGATTCCATTTGTATCAGACAAGGGCTGCAGTAGACTCTTGTCCTCTTAAACAGCCCAAGCACAGACTCACTATCAAACACTTGCCCTAAGCTCCAGGAAGAGACAGCAGATCAAAAAGCATCAGGGACATATGGGGATGAACTGAATTGTCTAGCTTTAGGGTAAGGGCTAGAGGAGTAGCTCCATGCTAGATAAAAGTGCTGGTAGGTGCCACTGTTCCTTTGTTGAGCCCTCCCACTGCCTATAGACCAGCCGTGGGCAAACTATGGCCCATGGGCCGGATCCGGCCCATTTGAAATGAATAAAACTAAAAAAAAAAGACCGTACCCTTTTATGTAATGATGTTTACTTTGAATTTATATTAGTTCACACAAACACTCCATCCATGCTTTTGTTCCAGCCCTCCGGTCCAGTTTAAGAACCCATTGTGGCCCTCGAGTCAAAAAGTTTGCCCACCCCTGCTATAGACACAGGCAGGTGCCATATCAGTTTCCATCAACTTGGCTAACAGTTTGCCCCACCCTGGTGATTCCCTGAGAAACCCACCCACCCAAATTATACACCATCCCTAGCTGCTTTCAGGGGCTGCTCCTCACAAGCAGCTGATCTTGGAACAAGCTGCGGACATTCCTAAACAGTTAACTGCCACATGTCCAAAACGGTAACCATCCCCACACATCACGATATTTTGAATTTAATTTAAAAAATCACCTGACTCTGGAATTGAATAAAGAATGTCATCTTCTTGCGAGGTGCTTGGTTCGATTCTTTCTTCATCTGATGCCAGTTATGGGGATTGAATTTTATTTGCACAATATATTACAGCGATAAATTCAATAATAAAATAATGATAATTTTCAATTCTACAGAAATATCAACAAAAGCAAGTGCGAAATAAAAATAAACTGTCAACACGAAAAGCCTCGAAAACACCAAATTTTGTTGATGCTCCAAAGATGAAATCTGTAAAAAAATAATGAAGAATGCACACCATGTTTACCATTTTAGGCATGTGGATGAAAGGGGCCACATGCTGACCTGACAAGCTCAGGGGAGGCCTGCATGGCGGTCTTGCAGACTTAGAGACCTAAAGTAACCACAAAGGATGGTCTGAAATTAAACTTTAACTAAAAGCAACTTTTTATCCTATCCTAGAGGTTTCCCCGCTTCGCTTAATCCCACCTCCTTAAATCTGTCACCAATGAATTTCATGTATAAATACGGATGTAACCCTGCCATTCTCCAGAGCACTATCTCAATTCGTTGAGGTTCTGCTTCCTGGCATATGTCGACAGTTTGGCTCAAATAAACTCACAAAAATTCTTTACAGGTTTCAATGGTTTTTTACGTTAACAGGCATGAAACTCATGGTAACACAAACAAATCTCAAGTGTTACAATGAACAAAAAAAATCTCAAGTGTCACAGTGTTTACCTCTTGTGCATCTGAATGGCAGCCCTATAAATAGATATTGAAATTTCTTCCATATGCACTGGAATACTTATGAATTTAAGTTACCATAATTTTCTTTACAAACCCAGAGATGTCACTAACAAGTCTCATTTTAAAATTGGGTGACCAGAGTTGATATGTGAGGTTTGCAGCTATAGATGCGCGTGCATGTGGGGAAGGTCCATCACTTGCATCTATAGATGCTTATGACATACAAAGGGCTAAAATCTCTCAAACGTCCACAAACCCCAAAGAAGCAAATGGACTCAGTGTGCCATATACCTCTTGCTAAATGGCCTCAGCCTGGCACTAGTGTCAGCTGTCCTTGGTTTGCAGCATAGCCCCACCCAGGTGCCTGCAAGCCCAGCACAGGTAGTTACCAACAGCAAATCAATCTGTATCTCCTACCAGGTGGACCCCTGCTGGGCACAGACAGCAGAAGAACTTGGAATGCACCAGACCAACTCTCAAGAGGACCCAGAACCAACGCATCTGGTGGCTGGCTTCAGACTATATCAGATTATCACTCAATTAGCTTCACAAACAACAAAACCAAAGGGTGGACTCAACAGACAGCAGAATTCTGCTAAAGCAAATTCAACTCTGTGGGTACAGTCCCCAAACAACAGTTTATCTGCTGTAGTCATGGTCAGTCCTCAAAGCCAGTCAGCCAGAGGATCAATCCCACATACAGATGTGACAAGAGCAATCAAGGCTCAGCTACAAATAGGAGGGCCCATTCAAACGACACAAGTAACACACCTAGAGTTCCCAGCTTAGGTGAACGAGAGGTTGTACCACTGGGCCCCACAAGAAACCTACTACATAAGGCCACCCTACCAAAACTGGAGATATAGATCTACATAACATGTAGAAACAGAATGAGGCAGTCAAAATGAGGAGACAAAAAGCACGTTCCAAATGAAAAAACAGGATAAAACTCCAAAAAAGAAACAAAATGAAATAGAGGCAAGAAAACTACCAGAAACGTAGTTCAAAAGAATGGTTAAAAGGATGCTCAATGAATTTAGGGGAAGAATAGATGAACTCAGTGAGACCTTACACAGAGACAGAACCCATACAAATAAACCAGTCAGAAATGAAGAATACAGTAATTTAAATGAAACATATATTAAATGGATTCAACAGCAGCTTAGATCAGTGGTTCTCAACCTTCTGGCCCTTTAAATATAGTTCCTCATGTTGTGACCCAACCATAAAATTATTTTCGTTGCTACTTCATAACTGTAATGTTGCTACTGTTATGAATCATAATGTAAATATCTGATATGCAGGATGGTCTTAGGCAACCTCTGTGAAAGGGTCGTTCGACCGCCAAAGGGGTCGCGACACACAGGTTGAGAACCGCTGGCTTAGATGAAGCAGAGTATCCAAACAGCGATTTGGAAGACAGGGTAGCAAAAACAACCAATCAGAACAGCAAAAAGAAAAAAAAATTTAATGACGGTACTTAATGGACTTCTGGGACAACATTAAGCGTAACAAAGACTCACATCATAGGGGCGCTAAAAGGAGAAGAGAGCGAGCAAAGAATTGAGAACCTATTTAAAGAAACAATGATTTATAACTTCCCTAACCTGACAAAGGAAATAGACAAGTCCAGCAAGCATAGAGAGTCCCAAACAAGAAGGATCCAGAGAGGCTCACACCAAGCCACATCACAATTAAAATGCCAAGGTTAATGAAGAATAAAAATGGCAATAAATAACCACCTATAGGAGGGACCTGCAACCCAAGCTCTTGGCCAGCCCAGAGCCCGGCAGCCCACCAGGAACGCAGGCTTTTGACCCACACCAGCCCCAGTCGACCCAGTGGACGCAGTCTGGTTGGACTGAAGCCAAAGCGGGACGTTTGCACCAGTGAGGGTGAAGAAGCTGATTTTTTAACCAGCTCATCCTTTTCTGGGGAGAAACCAAGATGGCAGCATAGGTAAACACCGGAAATTGCTGCCTCGCACAACCACTTCAAAAATACAACTAAAAGACAAAACGGACATCATCCAGAACCACAGGAAGGCTGACTGAGTGGAAATTCTACAACTAGAAGGAAATAGAAAAACACACTGCGACTCAGAGGAGGTGCAGAAGTAAAGTGCAGAGGTACGGAGGCTCACTTGGATAGGGCTGGCAACTGAGGACATGGTTGTCTTTTTCAATTGGGAGGGAGTCTCAAGCTCCTGACTGCTCTGAACTCCAGTTCCAGGCGAGTTTCTGTGGACCCAAACTCATACGGGGAGAAAATGGACTGTCTGGCATCGGTCGGAACTTAGGGGCAGCTTTCTCTCCAAGGTGCTTGCAGCGATTACCGCGGGACACTGAGACCCGGGGCCTCTTAGGGTAGGACTGAGGAGCAGCCATAGCTGCTTGCTCCGCCCTGTTGAACCCCAGTTAGGGGCAGCTTTCTCTCCAAGGTGCTTGCAGCGATTACCGCGGGACACTGAGACCCGGGGCCTCTTAGGGTAGGACTGAGGAGCAGC